TCTGTCATCCCCTCTGTCCTTGAAAACCGTATTCTTGGTTTTGAAGACAGGAGATAAAGATGTAACAGAGAAGCTGTTAAGTTAGATCAGGAATTTGAATCAAAAGCATCAATGTAAACTCAAGAGGAATTTTATCTTTAAATGCATTTTTCCCAGCTCTGTCCCCTGAAAAAGCCTAGAAACATGGAGATGTACTAAAGAGTGGGCTTGGAACATCTTGTGATAGAAGTTGGCAAGGAAGCTCTCAAAGACTGTTAGAGCCAGGGTCTATTAGACATTAAAAGCTGCCAACTGAAAGACACTCCTACCAGCCGAAGATGGGAGAATTTGGGTTTCAGTGATGATAGTGATTGCAATAGATTGAAATCCATCAAGGATGTTAAAGTCTTTGAATTCATAATGATATTTAAAAATAAAGAATTGGTCATCTTTGGAAGATGACAAGAAACCAATTCATTGCATTGAAAATTGGCCAATAAAGGAAAAAAAAATCATTTATCCTGACTTTCCTAAATGAGCTATACCAGTGATTACCTAAATAGTGGATGTGATGTTTCTTTTTAAAAGTAGTCCAGCTAACAAGTGAAAAATGAACGATAGAATTAGAATGTCACCATTTTGTGATCTCCAATGAATGGGTATAGGCATTTAGCATGAACAGCTGATAAGATCATTTAAGAGATATTATGTGTCTCCTATAATGCTGCTAAACACCACCAGTTGTCTTGCCAAAAGATCGAACCTAAGTGTGATACATTTTCTGGACTCAGAGAATTTGCCAATTTGTAGGATATCCAACAAACAGAGGAACATGTAGAAATGCACCAGAAATATGCATTCTGCAAAATTCAGACTCCAGAAAAACTCTCTAGGTCAAATTGTGGGTTTTCCAACAGATAAATTGTAGGGAAGTGGCAAGTGTGAAAGAAGAGCCTGTAGATTAAAAATGACTTAAAATCATCAAATTTTTTAAAATGAGCAAGGGAAACTAGAGTAATTAGGGATAGACATTAGAGGGATAAAGCTATTTAATAATAAATAACAATTAAGTTATTTACTACTTAGCAAAATGAGGATAATGGTGATTATGGAGAGAGGAATGGAGCTGTGAGTGGAAGGGCTTCTGGAATATGTGGCAATGTTCTACTTCCTGACCAAGGTGTTACCACCTGGTAATAATTCATTAAGCCATATACTTGCTGGGTATGTGTCTTTGTTTTATTTTATAATAAAAAGAATTAAAACTAAATTGGTCCATTTGCCAAAATTTTAAGAGTGATTATCTCTGAGTGGTCAAGTAGCTGGCAATTTTCCTTTTTTTCTTTTTATTCGTTCCTCTGTATTTTCTTTCTAATAGTACTTACACTAAACATATCTTATATGTGCAATTTAAACATATAAAATGACATTTCAATATAATTTTTTAAAAAATTCAGCCACATGGCATCTTACCAGTATTTTATTTAAAATGGAGGAAAAGTTTAGAATGTAATAATAGGTATTTTTGTCAATGCTGTTGGTTGGAGTTCATGACTTAGTGACAACTTACTTATATGTCAAAAGCCTGATGATAATGTCCTTACCAGCTATCATGATTAAATGAGGTTGAAGGGTTACAATCGATCAGGTGCAGGGTTCTATGCTAATGTGTGCCCTCATTTCATCTACTGGGATCTACAAAGTCTTTTGTTCTCCTTCTTTTCTTGCAACAATAAACAGGAACCTAATTTTTCAAGAAATGTCTGAGTCATTTAAAATGTTGGATAATTTGTGCTGTAATGAGTATTCCTCTCAATTTCATTGTCCTATCATAATATCAATAGTTATTTGCTTAAAAGAGCAAAATATTATACCTAGTGTGAAGATAGAATTGAATTTGATTATATTCATTATGCTAGGTGGGTGGTTCTCTTTTTCTTTCTTTTTCTTTAACCAAACCATTACTTTAGTATTTTAAAATAGAGATAGAAAGTACTGTCATTATATAGCAAATTAGAACATGTATGTATAAATATTTTAACAGTTTTGGTGCAAAAATAGGCTTAATTCATTTCATTGGCTCTATCCCAACTAAAAAATTACATTCTGCTAGCATAAATATAATCCCTAGTTCCTATGGGATGAATTATTTTTCACTTTTTCTTTTAATATTACGTAAAATTTATGGCACTAGTGAGTTAATACGCTTAGATTACAACTTTTGGTGGTAGTTTTTTTTTTCTCAATATAAAAATTGTTGATGAAATAAAAATGTACTATTTCTGTGTGAGTATGCACTAATTTTTTTAAAAAATATAAATATGAGCATTATTAGAAACTCAATTTCAGTCTCTGCTAGAGCTTTTGGGTAAGGAAGATAGGTGTTTGTTGGGTTTTTTATGCATGGGGTAGAGGAATTGTTTTTGTTAGTTGGCTGGTTTGCTTTGGTCTTTCACCTTACATATATTTAGCTAAAGAATATATGATGTGGAATTAGACTTACGGTTTTGAATGATTTTTCATTTTTTTTCTCTAGGAAGAGTTCATGTTGGAACTCATAAGTTAGAAGAATATTCTGCTAAGTGGAAGAAACTAGTCATAAAAGACCACATGTGATATGAATCCATTTATATGAAATGTCCAGAATAGGCAAATTCATAGAGACAGAAAGTAAATAAATGCTTGCCAAGGGTTGTGGAAGAAGGAGGTAATACATACAGAGCTTCTCTTTGAGGTGATGAAATGTTTTATAATTAGACAGTGGTGATGGCTGTTTGACTCTGAGAATATACTAAAAACTGCTGGATTGTACAGTGTGCACTGCCCTGAGGCAGACTAGGGAAGGGATTGGTGCCTCCTCACCCGGCCTTTCCTCCCACTCACCTGCACCACTAGGGGCTGTGAGTTGAAAACCTGGATAGGGCTCGAAAACCACTGGCCTAAGGGATCAAAAACTGCATTGCCAGGCCTGGAGATGGCCCAAGTAAAAGCTGGAATCTATTTCTTCCTTAAGTATCTCTGTGTGTATCAACAGTGCACTAAGAGCAGACGTAGGAATAAATTGGGTCATAAATGCTTATCCTCGTACAGAGGTCTTTTTACATTTCCGTTATGGAAAGCGTCTTCCCTTCTCCCTCTTTACCAAGACGTCTCTAAATGTTTCCTTCCGTACTCCCAGCTATCTTCTGCTTATTTCTCCTATTCTGCCCATTAAGATCTTAAACTATCACCTCTCATAGCAACCTTTTTTCTCCACAGAGTTGCCTTGAATTCTTCTTTTTTTCTTTAATACTATTTTTTTTTCTCCCTCTGCACTTCTGCTTTACATTTGGGAGGGTCTGTATCCATGTAACTACAGGTTGTCATATAGTTTGTTTTCAGTTGTTCGGGGAAAGATTTGTCATTGTGAATCTGATGGCAAGACCTAGTGATAACATGGGGCTGTCCTTTTTGGAAGTTTTTTGTTTATGTTTTGCAATAATATAAAAGTTGGTGAATTTTAGATTATAAATAGCTTGGCCTTATTCATGCCTCCTCACTGCTCTGCAAGCCTAGACAATTAAAAGTTCCTTTAATAGTTGGTTTTGTTTGTTTGTTTGTTTGTTTGTTTGTTTGTTTGTTGAGACGGGGTCTTGCTCTGTCACCCTGGCTAGAGTCCAGTGGCATCATAATATCTCACTGCAACCTTAAACTCCTGGGCTCAAATGATCCTCCAGCCTCAGCACCCCGAGAAGCTGGACTAGAGGTGCATGCCACCATGGCCAGCTAATATTTTTTTATTTTTTGTAGAAATGGGGTCTCACTCTTGCTCACACTGGTCTCGAACTCCTGGCCTCAAGCAATCCTCCCACCTCAGTCTCTCAAAGTGCAAGGATTACAGAAGTGATTGTTTGCTAGAAACAAGACATATTTAGGTGGAATGGGAACAAATAGAAAGTGGCAAAACTATATAAGAGTTGACTCAGAACATAGTTTTTAAAAATAATTACATATTTTTTAAAGTTTTTGTTTAGAAAACAAGTTTGTACGAGTCCTGGGTATATTTGTCATGAAGGAAGAGATGGAGGGCAGGAACAGGGATTAGGTAAACAAATGTGTTCATCCGTTGAGTTTCTGTTTTAGAAAAGTTCTCTACCACCCCATCCCATTTCTCCCAAGAAAGGGGAGTGAGGTCTACCTAGTGGTAGGTTGAGCAGCTAACTGGGACTCAGAGGATCAAAGTCTTAATTCAGTTCTGTGCAGGTCAATATGTAAATATTTTAAATACATCTCCAGAAGGACTAAAGTTGATGTTTGTATTTCAAATAAAAACTAGAATTGTGATAAAGAGTGAAATGAGGCTTAGAGAACAAGAGTTCACGAAGAAGGATGAGGGGATGAGGTCGAAGCAGTGCCAGCCCATCTCACCCTAAATGATTATTAAACTCATCATATTGAAATGCTTAAGGAAACAGTGAGATTTTATATGCCATTAAAAATTTATTTCAGGTAAAATAATTGTATGCCTGCACGATTGAGAAAGGACAAAAGAAGTTGATGGTAGTCCTTCTCAAATAGAACACTCCACTCTTTCTCTCTAGTTCATTGCTTTCTCTTTCTCCAGACTGGAATATAGCTGACTCGTGTGGATCCAGAATGGACTATATGGCTAACCTCCATTTATGCAGCTTAGTTAAAACCATAGAATATACTCTGTCTTCATTACATTTGTAGTAGCAGATTGCAAATTTGTTAGTGATGGAACCAAACAATAATATTTTCAAAACTTGTTTTACTTTTTGGTACAGGTTTTCAAATATTGCAAAATGAGCTATTTATGGTTTATTTTCAACAGAAAATGAAAAATTCTAAACTTATCACTGGATATATTTAATGACAAGTTCTGATGGCCAAGTGTTTTCATTATTCCAAAGAAACACATGAAACCACCAAACTGTCAGCATTTAACTGCTCTGATTTTATTATAGATAATTATTACCTTCAGTTTTAATAAGGGAAGTGTAATTTTTCCAACCTTATAGACAACATCAGGGGAAGATGTACGAGACTTCACAAAGGTGCTGAAGAACAAATTCAGGTCAAAGAAATACTTTGCCAAACATCCTCGGCTTGGCTATCTGCCTGTCCAGACAGTTCTTGAAGGTGACAACTTAGAGACGTAAGTTTGATTTTCATATTAAATCTTCTGTGAACATTTATATTTGATGTTATCTTTCTTTATGGTCCTGACACAAGAGAAATTGTTTAATACCAAAAATATTTGTGTTTTGGTAAAATGTCTTATTTTAAAAGAGGTAAATTAACTTGGAATTAGTCTTCACAACATGAATTGTTACTGTTTCCTTTTGACAATGTCACAGCCAACATTCCAGGTTTAAACTTGCATGTGTTCCTGGACTTTAAAAATATATATCAATGTGTCAACCTCAATATACACTGGTCTTTTTTGTTTAGTCATCTCTTTTCCTTTTATAAATACTTAAGTTGTGGTATTATATGATCTTTTATTCTTTTATTTATTTTCCATTTTTCCCCATTTGGAGGGGTGTTTTGCTGTTTCTAATAATATGTTTTGTACTTATTTTGTACCTTTTTAATATAAATTTATTAATAATTAATCTCTTGCTTCAGACACATAGCTATGCTAAAATCTCACGAAAGTCTCACCTTATGTTTCTAATCTATTTTTTCTTGAAGATGAATATAGCAAAATGAGATAGCTTTGTATATTACATGAAATACACAAAATTTCTTAATCGTATATAATTTGAGTTGACAAGTGTAAGTGAAAGTTACAAGATAGTAAAATTACCATGGGATTATAAAGCAAGGGAAATAAGAATTTCTAGTCTGAGAAGAGATGCAAGGATGTAATTTTAAGTTACTAAACAGTTATATATCAAGATCAAAATAACTATGATTTTAAATCTTTGAATCACTTTTAGAAATATCAGCACAAGTATTTCAGCTAAGGCCAATTTTCTTATGGTTAAATCTTGGAGAAAATGAACTTTTATTGCCAATCATCACCATAGTGCCTAGTTACATAGCATAACTATATTCTAGTCAGGGAAAGACACCCTCTCAAAAGAATATAAAAGAAGAATTCACAAGGGTATGAAGTTTTCTACTTTATACAGTACAGAAAATTATAGTATAAAAAATGTGTTTAGTATAATTTTTGTGTTGTAAAACTTTCTTTAACCTTCAAAACTTATAGTTCATTTTATTTTATAGATGAGAGATAATCAAAGAACAGTAATATTCCAGTGTATTATGACAGTCAATGAATGTCTCAGATGTCAAAATAGGAAAATAGACAATTTTGTCAGATTCTTTTTTTTTTCCATATAAAGCTCTGTAGTCTTGAAACTTTGCTAAATTTATGTGCCAGTGTGTCTCTTATTTATGGAACTGCTAAGAAGGAGAAGAAAGACCACAGTCAAAGCACAGTAGATACTGTTATTCCTCTGTAGGTAATGTCATGTGTGTGCATATAGAAAGAAATATAAGACAGATGCATATGTAGGATAGGTCTATATATAACACATATAGAGCATAAGAAAGCATTTAAACTTTTTGATAACTCTGCTTGATATCAAACTATGTACAATTAAGATATATGTCTTCTTAACCAGTTTCAGGCATAGTACAATTTAGAACAAATTTTATTAAAGCAATTTCATTTTAAACAGAGCTATTCTCATATATTTAGGAAGGTAGATTTTTGGTCCTCTCTTCATTTTGTGGGCATACTTTTGTCCTTTTCTGAAAGGTTGTATGATAACATATTCTTAACTTGTTTTTAGTGCTAAGCATCTATGATAAAGGCAAAATTTTACTTCTCTTTGTATCTCTTTGTATCCAATTAAACTTTGGAATGGATAAATTCTGAGGCATAGAATAATTTCATGGTGCTTTAATTTACCAGATAATTTGATGGGTTTGAACTAAATGATGTGCCTTTCACTCTTTTGTTATTGGCGTTCTGTGTCCCAAATATCTACATCCTTTACTGGAATCATGTGGTTAGATGCAACTTTTATTCTCCTTTTAAACATTGTTAATAATTTTCCTTGTAGTGTCAAAATAATCATTAGCGTCAATCATTCTATTCTGAGTGACTCTTTTAAATTAAAAATTAACAGAAAACCATGTCAAATAATTTTGTGCTATGGTTTTGGGTTATAATTCTGAAAATGCCTCACCTCATTGAACATGAATTTACTAGCATTTTCAGTGAGAGGAAAGCAAAAGAAAGAAAGGAAGTAGTATAAAATTAAATCAGATGCCACAGGATCCTTATTGAAAAAGATTTATGAGCAACTGGATACAGTGGGCAGGTTTTCGTCTTTCTCTAATTCTAGACCAGGCTGTCTAGATTAGTATAGTTCATTTTTCTACTGAGCCCTTTCTGGTGTAGGGCCACTTAATCTTCTTGTGTAACAATCTATGTGAGGAGGTGGTAAAAAAGTTTGATTTTGTTTATCTTCCTATTTGTGGGAGGAGAACATTGGAGAAAAACCAGTGAAGTGGTAAATGTGTTGAAGTTATTTATGAAACTGATTAGAATTTTCCGTTGCTTCTTTTTCTTTCTCTTTCATCCTTGTAAAATGTAGTGTCTTATCCTCTGCCCAGTAATTATACATGTCTACATGAAGGGGATTTATGGGGAAAATGAGTTGTTACTGAGAAGGGTAAACAAACCCGTGCTAAGGGTTATTCATTTAATTTTATAACTATGCAAAATTTTTCAAAAAAATATAAATGAGTAGAGCTTGATTAAAGAATGGACCATTGAAAATAAACCTGAGAAACAAACTAAAATAGTAGCAAAAGGAATTTGAGAGTTGTGAGAGATTATTATTGACTAAAAAAATAGGTTGGTTTCCCTAAAGGTTAAAAAAGTAAAACGGACACCTTTCCCTGTATTGGATAAAGTGGAATAAATGAGTTTCATGATTTTTTTAAGCCTTGCTATAGCAATAACCAACTCAGAGTAAGTGCAACTGTGGTCCCAGTAGCACTGGACTGGGGGGCAGTGACAGCTAAGCTGAGACCCGAAAGATTAACAGGGCCAAGTGTTGAGTGTTTGGTGTAGGAGGAGGAGACATAGAGTTTCTGGGCAAAGGAAGCATTTTCAGAAGCCTGGAGGCAAGACAGTTTTGGAGACTGAGCTGGGGAGCTGGGGATAGTGGCAAGAAATGAAAGTGGAGAGAGAAGCTGGAGCCAGACACCTAACCACGCCAAAGTGTTTGGAGTTTACCCTGAGAGCCCTGGCAGCCACTGAGGGTCTTTGTGTCAGAGCAGCTGGGATCTCGCTTACCCAGCTCTGGGGCAAATGGATTGATGAAGGCAAAAGACAGTCTGCTGAGAATTGAAGGCACTAAAAGGTCACTAAAATCTTCAAAGTCTGGGTTACATTTCATGTATTATTAAGTATATGTAGTAGAATCTGATTCCTTGAATATTAATGTGTGACTGACCAAAACACTCTGTTCAGCGAACACACTGGAAAGCGTGAACAAGCTGCGTTATAAAGTCTGAGCTAACACACACGGGTCTTATTTTTAACCCCTTTTAATCATAGATTCTAACTACGCAGTTGTTTATTTTTATCTTTTCAGAATTAAATGAGAAAGCTTTTCACATAACCTTAATTTTTTTCTACAAATCAAAATACTTTGAAGTCAATGAAGCCTAGAGTTTGATTTTTTATCTTTACTTCTTTTCCTAAAAATTTCCAAATATATTTATAAAATTTCTTTTGAGAATCTCTTCAGTTCAGCTTTCTGCCCTTGCCATTTTTATCTTAGTTCATGAATCACTTTTGTGCTAACTGGATTAACTTCACACAAACCAGTCAAGCAGTTTCACAAGGCTTTTCCAAGGTCAATTAAGATCAAAAATACACATTTTTCTTCTATTTAAAGCTTATGGCAAATGTTTTTGTACACTTGAATTTTAGAAATAATCTCTTAAGCAGTTCTGTTTTTAGAAAGCATATAGCAAATCATGCATCTGACATTTAACATTTCTATTTCAAGGTTAATGATATGTAGTGATGTAAAAAGAGTATTGAATAATACTATGTTGTTTTGTTGTTGTATCTATTTTACACATGTATAATTAAGTCCACTGATAATATATTCTGACAAACACAGAATGGATAAATGCATAGTTCTGAAAGTAGGTCCAAAGAATATTAGTTTTTCATCCCAATAAGATGACATTCTGTCTCTTTTTACTCTTGCCTAGGTAAACATCAACTTGCACTTCACAGTAGGTGATAATGAGAAAAGTATGTATTATACATACATACATTTTTGAGTATGTATGTATAATTGAAATAAGAGAATCTAGCAGGTCTGGAATGATTTTGTTTCAATCAGCATTAGCTTTTGCAGGAGACATTACTTATTTTTTAAATAGAGAGCTGATTTTCTTTGTACTTTTAAATTTCCCCTTTTTAAGTTACCCATCTAACCCAAAAAAGTTAGGGTTTGAACTAGCTGTTAATTCGTATCAGTTGTTTTCGAAGATATTTTCATGGAGACTTGGGGATTCCTACCCAGGGTATGAGGCTGAGGGGTAGCCCCAGGGCCAGGAGTGATACTGAATGATCTGGCTGCAGACCCAAGCCCCTGATGCAAGCAGAATAAGTTTTCCTGTATCATTTCATAGATTGAGCTTTTCGATAAAATTTTGTTTGATGAAAGTATATCATGATCTAGAGAAGTTGCTTTCGGTTTCATTGATAATGTGACCTTTTTGGCAAGGTACGTAGGGGGTATCTAGGTTGCCTGTTTTCTCAATGTGTCTGCGAAGCTGAGATATTTTGTGAATACCTGGTTTGAATTTTTATACTTAAAATTGGATGAAGAATCAGAAAAATCCAATTTTATTACATTTCTGTCATCAACATATAATGTAGTCTTTAATTTTTAACTTCACCTTTCTAACCAAGTTCTTTTTCCAGAAAAAAAAAAAACCAAAACTATGGTTGCATCTCCCCTTCGTATATTATAGAACATTATCTCAAAATTATTTTATAATTTTGAGCTATTTTTGAACATTCTGGTTTTATTCCCCCAGTAAGACTGTTTAAAGATGTGTTTGCTGTCCTGTTGCAAATATCCTGTAATATGTGTGAAAAGGCCCCTGCAGATACTTGAATACACAGCGTCTTCTCTAGAATAAACTGTGACTTCTGTTACTTTTGATTTCCCCATGGTGGCTTTCAGGCCAACTAAATATTTGAGTGGAAGACAATTGAGAATCTTCCACACACACCCCTGCCCCCACTGTTTTCGTCTTAAGTTGCTGGCTAGTGTTTGTTCCGTGACTTTTGTCTCCCTCTCGCTCTCTGCAGTCCTATCACACTCATCAGTATGTGGCCAGAGCACTATGAGTGAGTATTCACAGCCCGCGTGCAGGAGATGGGTGTTCTGATCAGCTGCGTTAGCATGGGGTGATTACTAAACTCTTGGTCTAAAATAATATTCCTGCATCCCGGGTAACCATCCTAGTGGTTTCTTTGCATGGCAAATCCGTTATTTAACTAAGCTAACATGTCTAATAGTAACAACCCTCAATATTTGGGCATAAAATTGATGCTTTGTTATTTCCCTTAAAGCCCCTCCCAGTCTCCTCAGCTGTTTCACGATGACACCCATTCAAGGATAGAACAATATGCCACACGGTAAGACCCTTTGACCAGAGCCTGCTGCAGCACTGATGCCCAGAATGTATCTTTTTCTAATTAATCTGACACCAATAACATACCTTGATTTAAAGAGTGTCGTTTTGCAGGAGTCGTGATTCCGTTGTATTTGGAATCTGGGCTCTCACTTTTTCATGTTGCAATTTGCACTTTACCAAACACCTGCTATATATTCTGTGAAAAGTAAAGCTCAATAGGATGTGATTATCGCGCTCATGAGAATCCAAACCCTGCGCAAGCAGGATTTAGATAATGTAACCCAGTTTCAGTGAATGAAAGTGAGATTGAAAATATTCTCAGGAGATGGTGCACATACGAATTCTACTATGTAATTAAATTTATGCTAATGCCTTAGGATAGGGCTTTATTTTTAGAGTCCTTAAATAATATAAAATATAGACTGGTCTTGATGATATACACACAGTTTCAGAAAAGTAGTACATACTAAGCATCTGTGGTCTTACTAACTCGCTATGCCTAAAAAGGTTAGTTCCAGCATCATAAAAATAAGTAACATTTGAACTGGGTCTAGGCCAGGTAGAATTTTTGGGGAAAGGCAGGCTTGGGTTGGAGGAAAAACATAGTCAAAAGTGTTGAGCTGGGAAGAAACGTCTTGTTTACTGAACTACAGGTAGGGAAGAGAAAAGAAGGAGTACAGGGGCCTAGGTGAAGTCAGATAATGAAGTTCCCAGCTGCTCAGGAGTTGGATCATGTCCTTCAGTAATGGGACGTCAGAGAGAGTCTTTAAGCATGAGAAGGACGTCATTAGATTCATGTGAAATGTAACCCCCACTTTAATGTACAAGACCAACTCTTGGACGAAGGAGAGCCTACATCTGAAAGGTCATTTAGGAGACTCAACAACGCAGCATAAGATGAAGGCCTACAGGCTTTAAGGCAGTGATGATAGAAATGTAACTCAACATTAGATGTTTTAATTTTACAATCTTGTTAAGAGATCTGGACCTCTCTATGTTTTGTTGGAATTTTGACAATGTAAGGACGACTGAGGATTTGCCTCCAATTGACCATGTCCTGTGCGGCCACATTACCTAACCTCCTTATTTTCATTTTGCAGACTGGCCCAGATGGAAAGGACTAATGGGTCTTTTCTCACTGACAGCAGCTCCACCACAGGAAGTGTGTAAGTAAATTATGAAATTAGCACTGCCTGGGAAAGCTAGTTCTTTCATTATGGTTGTTAGAAATAATCCTTATGGACTGTGGCTCTGCATTTTGATCCCAATCAAAATTGATTAAGTGTGGTTCCACAAGTGTCCACATAGATTTTATGCTTTCAAGCCATGATAGTATAAACTGGATATGTTTATTTACTTTGTTTCATATAAATGAATGAAAAAAAATCCTACATTAGTCAACTAATCCACTTTAGGAAAATCAGATTATTTTATTTAGAATAACAGATATATCTGTTCATTCCATTTGTCTCATATTTCTTGTTAATTTAACAGATGTAATTCCATAGAATTATATGCCCTTTCTGTAAAATTCTCTCCCTTCTGCCAGCTAACATTTTCTCTGTAATATCTGCAATTTACCAACTCTGACCCACACATGCTAGGACATGTACTCCCTACCAGCCTTCACTGAAAAGTGTTAACTCTCCTGCCAATATTTTATTTTTATTAGCAACTAAGAAAAGGCTCATTGACTTCAGAATACCTTTTTAAAAGCTTTCTAGCCAAATATTTTATCTTTGATAAAATCTTTGATTTTATCTTTGATTTTTATCTTTGTATATTCAACTTGGTTGTAGAACTTTCTCAGCAAATATTTTATCTCTGATTATCCCACTCTTATGGGATAATCTTACTTTTGGAACTTTTCCTTCTTTCTCTTTTTTTTTTTTTTGCCTTGGAATTCACATTTTAAATTCTGAATGCTATCTAAAATACTTCACTAGTGTCAAGTTTATGTGACTTACACAGGTCATTGTGGTTTGGATCCCATGGGAAGCTTCAAGGTAGACAAAAAAGTTGTAGAATGTAGTAGTTAGATATTTTTCACTAAAAAAGACTCAAGAAAATCAAGTGCTTGAAATACCTCAAGCACTCTAATATAGAATGTTTTCTTTTAATATTTTTTAAAAGTTGTTTTATTTATCAGTAAGCTTATCAGTAAAAGTTCTCAGGAGGTGTTTCAATTTCAAATTTCAAAGATTAGCATCTTAATACTTGACAATAGAGTTGGGATTTATACATTATCATTTACCTACTATGAGTGTGGAATGATTCCTAAATCAAGATAATAGTGTGTTCATAATGTTTCTTTCATATTTAACCTACTAGTACGCATTTCATGTAAAGTAGTTAAATATCCTGAATCTCTTCTAAATCAACATAATTTCCACCAAGGTTGACAATAGCCAAAGAATTAAAGAAAATTAAAAATAACAACTCAGACCAAAATCTTACTTCTTTAAATGTATTTCTTATGCCCTGTGAACAGAGTAAAGGTAATGCTCAAATTTAGTATAGCTTATCTTCAAATTAGAATAAACACTGTTTATTTTTAAATTTCACACTAATGTTTCAGACAAGAAACAATAAGCAGATGATTAACAGCTGAATACATTTTAATATACTATTATTAGATACATTAAGTCATTCACCCATCCAACAAATATTCATTTTATATCTGGCATGTAGTGGTGTGGAGCCAGTTGTGAGAGCTCATTGTTAAATATTCAGGAAGTTTTTAAGTTATTAAGCAGATTCCTTATTAAAAATAATGTTCAATATATAGTTATAATTAAATAAATTAAAATACAAACAAAAGTAATACTCAAAACTCATTACACCATAAGTATTTTACTTCATTGTACTATTATCTATGTCCTTGGGGACATAGACAGATGTAATATATATTACATTATATAGAGAAATATTTATTGTATCTGTCAAGTGGTGTACAGCTCTGTATCTTTTCCCAGCTTCACATTCAGTGAAGTCATTAGCTTGAAACTGAACATGATGAAAGAATGTAAAGCACAAATTGCAGATGCTATAAATCAAGGTCATTTTCTTTATCTTTTGGAGAACCTGTTGTTAAGCATTTAAGAGCACACCACTGCCATGCACCAAATACCCACAGTAGACCTATAGTGAAGATACTGTCTTCATGAATCTTACAGGCTGGAAGGGACAGAGATAAGTGGGCCTACACTGGGAACATGGTGAGGGCATTTGTGGTGGACATAATAACGCCCCCCGCCCCCAACAAGATGTCCACATCTTAACCCCTGAAACCTATAAATGTGTTACTTTGCATGGTGAAAGGGACTCTGCCAATGTGATTATGATAAGGATCTTGAAATGGGGAGAGATTATCTTGGATTATCTAGGTGGCCCCAACATACTCACAAAGGTCATTATAAGAGAGGAGAAGGAGATGTAACGATGGACTGAGAGGTCAGAGAGAGAGATTTGCAGATGCTGCCGCACTAGCTTTGAAAATAGAGGAACACAGGTTTCCTTAAGGTGCCAGAAAAGGCAAGGTAACAAATTCTCTTTTATATGTAAAATGAAATTAAATTAATAGCAAACGATGTATAGACCACTAAAGACAAATTATTTAACAGTTACTGGTGCATTAACATTTTCTTAATGAATATGTGAATAAATCTCAGTGGCTAACAGTAGAGGTCCTTTGCTCGTTCATATTCTGAATTACTGAGTAGACTGGGGTTCCTTCCCTGTGGACATGTGGTGATTCTGCCATTCTAGTGAGAATGTTAACAGGCAGTCTGAATCATTGAAGCTTTACTCTGGGCCTTAAATTCAGTGGTTTGTCTTAAGTTTATAATATTTACTTATTTAAACATTTCTGTTTTAAACAGTATCAATGACTTGACAAGGTGAGTAAGTATTACTATGGTAAATACTTTAGTATCACGTTAGGCTCTCTATAGTTTCTCATTGCTGTCTATTTCTGACTTGGCAATCACCTTATAAACATGCCAATCTATTTTCCCTTCTTTTTCTTTTTAGCCAAGTGAAACAACTATTTTTTAACTTACTGGAGGAGGAATCTATTGTTTAGCTGGTTTGGGATAGAAAAGTCTCATTCATATAGCCAAGGGTAATCTCCCCTTTCCCTTAAGGTTACCTCCCTTTAAGATATTTAGGAAGAGGGAGTGTGGTTGCATATGGCTCATTCCCAAGCTCTCTCTGTGACCATGGAGGTGTTCCCCTCCTTTGCAGTGGACCCCTGTGTCCTTTGCCACTGTGCCATTGGTGGCAGCCAGCACACGTGGGCTCCTTCCCCCTCATGAACGCTGTCACCTCTAAAAGCACCTTCCTTAAGTGGTGGAGAAAGTGTGGGGCTGGTCCCATGCCCTCTCCCCGAGACAGCTCGTCCCTCCCGTACCTCCAGATACTGTTACAGTTAGATATATGGCTGTATTTGACTCACTTAAAAAGTGTAGAAAGTCAAAGGGAGAGAATATTTCAAACTATTGGCAAAAGTATATTTTTTTTATTACATAAGGCAGATTTTGTTCCAAAGTAGTGGTAAATGGGATAATAGATAATTTTTTAGTTTTTAATAATTATGTATTTAGTTTAATGTATATTCAAAAAGTATATAAGAAGCAGGTCAAAACAATGGTTTTACGGATTTTTTTTAACCTTTTTATATAACTATTATTTTTTAATTTTAAAATATTCAGGGGGTACAAATGTTTTTGGTTACATGGATCATTTGTAATGCTTGAGTCATGGCTATAAGTGTGCCCACCACCCAAATAGTGTTCATTGTACCCATTAGGTGGGTTTTTGCCACTCTCCTTCTCCCTCCTCCCCCTGCTTGATTTCCACTGAGTTTTACTTCCCTCTGTGCAAATGTGTGCTCATCAGTTAGTTCCAATTTAATAGTGAGTACATGTGGTGTTTGTTTTTCCATTCTTTAGATACTTAACTTAGGCTGATGGTCTCTAGTTCCACCCAAATTGTTGAAAAAGGCATTAATTTATCCTTTTTTTTTTTTTTTTTTTTTGAGACAAAGTCTCACTCTTGCTGGGGCTAGAGTGCCATCGTGTCAGCCTAGCTCACAGCAACCTCAAACTCCTGGGCTCAAGCAATTCTCCTGCCTCAGCCTCCCGAGTAGCTGGGACTACAGGCATGCGTCACCATGCCCAGCTTATTTTTTCTATGTATTTTTAGTTGGCCAATTAATTTCTTTCTATTTATAGTAGAGACGGGGTCTCGCTCTAGCTCACGCTGGTTTCAAACTCCTGACCTTGAGCCATCCTCCTGCTTTGGCCTCCCAGAGTGCTAGGATTACAGGCATGAGCCACTACGCCCACCCTAATTTATCCTTTTTATGACTGAGTAGTACTCCATGGTGTAATATACCACATTTTGTTAATCTACTCATGAATTGACCAGCACTTGGGTTGATTCCTCATCTTTGCAATTGTGAATTGTGCTGCAATAAACATTCGAGTGCAGATATCTTTTTGATAAAATGACTTCTTTTCCTTTGGGTAGACACCCAGTAATAGGATTGCTGGATCAAATGATAGGTCTACTTTTAGTTCTTTAAAGAAATCTCTATACTGTTTGCCATAGAGGTTGTACGAATTTTCAGTCCCACCAACAGTGTATAAGCATTCCTTTCTCTCTATATCCACACAAGCATCTGTTATTTTGGACTTTTTAATAAAAGCACTTCTAACAGGGATAAAGTGATATATCATTGTTATTTTAGTTTGCATTTCTCTGACGATTAGTGATATTGAGCATTTTTTCATTGGCAGTTTATCTTCTTTGGAAAATCCGTCTAGGTCTTTTGCACACTCTTGATAGGGTTGTTTGACTTTTTCTTACTGATTTGCTTGAGTTCTTTGTGGATTCTGATTATTAGCCTTTTTATCAGATGTATAGCTTGTGAATATTTTCTCCCATTCTGTAGGTTGTCTATTTGCTCTGTCAATTATTTCCTTAGCTGTGCAGAAGCCTTTTGATTTAATTAATGAGACAAATAAAATTAGGGTATCTCAATTTAAAGTCAATTAAGAACATTTCATAATTAATGGTATGTGGATGTGGCAGCATTTAGGAAAGTGGCAAGAAGATTATTGAAGTTTGTGAAATATAGATTTAAGCTACAGCATGCAGGACA